GAGGCACCACTGTACTTGATTTCTTATCTGTAACGTGCTTCTCTCATCATGAGTAATCAATGGATGCATGTAGACTCCACATTGTAGAGGTGTGCAAGTTTGTGTTGTGTTTTTTTTGGACTGCATTTCTCATGATTCCACAGACGTCTTATATAAATGTTTTCTAGAATGCATTTTAAAAAATAACTCCTTGAAAGCCTACATACTTCTAGCGTGGTGGATAGTTAGTTAGATTTGGTCTGGCAAGAACTGGGTTCAGGTCCTGCTTGGCTGTGTAGTCCGTTTTCCTTCATAAAATAAGGGGAAACTGTGCATGCTTCCTTGGAGGTCTTTGTAGAAAGCACAGGTTATACAAACATAATGGGCAGCCAATAGGAAATAGCTTACATAGTTACAGTTGATGACAGAAATCAGAATAATATTTTGGGATCTAATGTTCCATGGGCATCTGTCACCAGATATCCTCTTTAGGCATCTATCCTCGCAGGCCTCCTGTTACTCAATCTGCTTTACAATCAAGGATATTTTAAAATGTTTCTTCAGCTCTGTATGTTATAGTCCTTAGTTTAGAACTTTATGTTCTGCTTGATCAGACATGACAATCTGGTGAAAACTGTACAAGGTGATCTTTCAAAACTGAATAAGAAGCGTGGCAGCATTCTGTCACACACCTGAGGCACCGATCCTGCCTGTACATTCTGAGAAAAAGGCATGTACAGTATAGGATTGGATTGTACAGCATTGCTGAGAAGTGAAGCCCAAGATACAGCTGTACAGACAATGGAAGAATATGGCTAGAAGAATACCGTATTTTTCGCTCCATAAGACGCACCTTTCCATAAGATGCACCAATTTTTTTAGGAGAAGAAAACAGGAAAATATAATCTGTTTTCTTCCCTCCATAAGACGCACAGACTTTCCACCCCCCCCTGTTTTGTGGGGGAAAAGTGCGTCTTATGATGTGAAAAATACGGTAAATGGGTTGCATGGAGCATCCAAGCAAAAGTCATTTCTTCATCAGTTCATGTCCATGCGGAAATTAAACCTGCCTTGGTTTCTGATACTGAATGCTCTGAGTAATAGGGAGGGCATAGGTGGAGGTTTCTTCCTCTTGGGGGGAGACCCGTGCAATATAGCAACCCTAGTTCCATATGCTTCCTGTACATTATGATGACTGGCATTTCATTGTCAGCTTTAAAGGCCATTGTAGCATGATTGCAACTGGAATTTTGTGGTAATATCAAAGGATGTTTTTATAAAAACTTATTTTCACCTACTATCTTCCTCCTTTTTCTGGGTGTTTCCCCCCTCTTTATCATGTGAAGTCACATAAGTAGAAGAGCAGCCATCTCTCTGTCTTCTGAAACTTCAGTGGCTTGGCGCTCGTGGTCCTCTCCCAAACAAGTTTTACTGTAAGATTACGGAGATTGCAATCTTGGGTGTTCAGGTCTACATTTAAGCCTGGGCAGCAGAAGGTGAGGGGCCACTGAGATTCCCCCCCATCAAACATTCAGGGACGTGGGCTCATTTTAGTTGTTGGGGGATGCTTTCATCATGTACAGTATGCATTATTGTTGTCTTAATGGTTAGTCCACCTCCTGAAACCTATGCAAACTGATTTTGGTGTTGTTCTGACACTTCGTTAATTTATGATGATTTTTTGAATTTTCTCCATTGGAAACCATTGGAAGGTCCACCATGGTGGTAGCCCTGAAATTGGGGCCAGTGACTGCTTTTTGTGTATCACTGAACTTTGCTGATGAAGAGAAATGCTTATATATTTATGTTACTGAAATCTCCATTGGAAAAAAACCTTTAGCAGACAAGTTGTGTCCTTACGTTTCTGGTAGTATTTTTCATGCTGATAGAGAAGCTTAGCAAACAGAGGATGAAATCAATAACACTTTAATAATATGTTTCTTTCAGATTCTCTGAATTGATGTGGCCAGTACAGCATTGCTGAAATAGGTGAGAAAATAGTTTCTTCGGTAGAAATAGGTGTCCGAATTCAGCGTAACTCCAAAGAGTATACTTGTATGCATGCCAGAATATTTCATAGAGATCATGCAAATGTTGTTGTACACAGATGGTATATAATAAGTTTACTCAAGTTTGATATTAATTACTTTTGTCTATCATTGGAAAGTCTATCACTGGTTATAGCTCATCTCCCCAGCTTGTGACAGATGACCGCAAGCAGAATACTAATAGGCAGAAATTTTGAGACAGTTCTCCAAATCTGCCTTGCATGCCTTTATGACTTAAAGTCAAAGCAATTGTGTTAAACCTTTAAAAGGCTGAGGTGGTTTTCTGCTGTATAACTGTTTCCTCCTTTATGTTTAAATGTCACATGATTTTTAGACAAGTACATGAAACAGTACAAAACTGAAGTTAAAATATAGGTACTGTAGTCTCGTAACTTTGAGATGCAGGGTGGATTTGATTTAAATCATGATTTACATTTTAGAAATCAGATTTTCGGCAGTATAAATAAAACTATTATTTCAATTGTCAACATCTGCTTTTTTAGAAATTTAAATTGAGATTTAAATCAAATCCACCCTGCTTCTCAAAGTTACAAAACTTATAAACATTTTTAAAAAAATAATAATTTATTATTATCCACTCTGTTGAGAAATAGAAATATGCAACAAAGAGGAAGTCCTGAATCTAGTTCTTCATTTAACAGATATACATGTGTAAAAATTCAGTGGTGTCTGGTCAGAACATTTTTGCTAATCTAGTGGCAGTTTTAAAAGAATGAAATTCTAGAATATCTCAGTAGTGAGAAAGCTACTTATCTTCAATAAACAAACTGAACACTGAATTAAAACTAAGGATGAAGGATATTAAAATTTCATTTCTGATCCTTGCTTTTAAAAGCTACCTTAATGTTCTGTGAAACAGTCAATAAAAGTAGTAATTACCATCTCTGCAGACCTTGGAATTAAGTTAATTTCAGTAGTGATGCAGCTGGCTGGGTGTATATGAGAGAGAGAACATTTGTTTGCTAGCGTAGTGATATTATGCAGCATGACAGTATGCTGTTATCTTTCCGTCAGGCTCCTTATCTGTGCTTATTTGCTGAGCAAATTTTGGATGAAATATTAATGCAGAGACTTAATTTATCATTCTTGGAGTTTAGTTTGTGCCTCTTTACAATGAAAGTGGTTTCAATCTGCTAATCCCAAAGTAGCAGTGAACTCCTTGTACATATGTAACTTTTTTTTTTTTGCTCCAGTGTTACATCTTGGGTTATATGATGGTGAGAAGAAATTTCAAAGACGCAGTGGGAACAAGATGTAAAGTTCCAACACATATCAAGTCACACTATAGGACTTTACTCGACAGGGAACTGACTCTCTCTATTCAAAAATAATGCAAGCAATTTTCAGTACTGTGGGCTGGATGCCCTGAATGTATGACTCTTATGATTTGAAATGAATTAAATAAACAAAATGAGCTGAATATTAATAAATATTTTAACTAAGGTCCTCTTTCCTTCATTCCTGAGCTGATGATGTGCATTCTTGTAAAATTCTACTGTATCTCTATTTCTTGAGTGCTCACATTGACATTCATGGAATTGGTAGAAAAGGGACTGGATGCTTGCTGTATGTCAGAGACATTAAAACTCAGTTGTGGCTAAATATCAATCATAATTTGGAGTTCTAATTCCATGTGTGTCACTATCTGTAGCAATACTGGATAGAGATGGGGGTATTCGTATTCATATACGACTATCCACCCCCACAAGTGTAGATAACGAGGGTCCGGCCCTATGGGGCCGGACAGTCCCCTCACAATTTCGCCATTGCCGCAGGCTCCATGGAACCTTCTTATCGCTCCATTGCTCGTGATAGATTAGCCAGTCCTGGCAGAAGGCAGGATGATGAGTATCTCTGCCAGGTCACAGAGTGGCTAATCGTGAGTGGTCGGTCTGGCCCCAGGGGGCCAGACCCTCATCTGCATCTGGGGGGCACTATATTTGTATTTGCATATAAATACAAATATCCCCATCTCTAATACTGAATATAAGAATCACTGTGTAAAGATGTTCCATCTGTGTTTTACCTGCTGGTTGAGATGCCGTATTGACAAGAACTCTGCTTCAGCTTTTGGTCATGGTTCTCACACTTTGGCCTTCTGGGTGTTATGGTGTACAAGTCTCAGAACCTCTATACATTAGAAGTATTGGTTGTGAGTTCTGAGGCAGCAGAGTCCAAATATTTGAAAGGATAAAAGTTGAAACCACAGTTTCAGATCAGAGGTCGCTGGGTTGGGTGGGCAGAGGGATGGCTGGATCTTCTCAAATTATTTTGCTAGAAATCCGTCCACTGGACCCAGATGGAACATGGTAGATCAGACTATAAACTGTTAACAACAGTCCTCTGTATGCTGTATATCTGGGATAACTTGTATGAACAAGCTCAAATCTACATCTGAGTTGCTGCAGATGAGGATTTGTACAAGAAAGATCTACAGCTAGCCAGCGGAGCTGGACAAAATCAGGGAGGCCACCAGTCAATACTCACATTTTACATGAGAAATACTTGAAGCTTTACTTCTTATTTTTAAATTGCTGATAATAAGAACAATAAAAATAGGGAAAGGAAGCCTAGTGTATAAACTAAATTTCCACCTTTTCCAATACAGTATGGAGTTTACTATGCTCCTTTATATCGCTGTTCCTATGCAGGGAGAAGCTGTATGCTTTGATGTAAGGCAAGGAAAGATGTTAAGGCATCAGGAATCTTTTGTCTGTGGAGAAGAAAGATATGAAGGAAGGGAATGAACTCTGCTCCTTTGAGGGCGAAATTTGCTCTCAGTTCTGAAAGTTTGCAGATTCCAAGCTGCCTTGAAGTGACACTTTCGCCTGCTGGGGAATTACTCCTACTTAGCTCCAAAAAGTAAAAGGCCTACAGCTGGAAAGAGACTGGGGCTGAGCTGGAGCCCATTTCTCTGTGTGCCATGTGATTGCCATGAAGTAGATTGTTGGTCCCCAACCTTGGGTCTCCAGATGTTCTTAGACTTCAACTCCAAGAAATCCTGGCCAGCAGAGGTGGTGGTGAAGGCTTCTGGGAGTTGCAGTACAAGAACATCTGGAGGCCCAAGGTTGGGGACCACCGAAGTAGATCACACTGAACTGCTTCACAAGTGTTTCAAATTGAATTCTGTTGAAGGAGCCTCATGGTGCAGTGGTTAAACTGCATTTTTGGAGCTACGACTTTGCTCATGATCTGAGTGCAGTCCCAACAGCCTCAAGTAGTTGGCTCAAGATTGACTCATCTTTCCATCCTCCCAAGATTGATACATGGAGTACCCAGCTCACCAGGGGAGGAGGGGGCAGTGTGTAGCCCGCATAATTAAATTGTAAACTGCCCAGAAAGCTATGTGGCACTATATAAGCAACACACTTTACTTTTGCTGTGCTTTTATTTCCCCGTGTGATCACGCCCTTAGAAGCGTTGCTGGTTTAGTATAAATCACCCAGTGGGATCCTTGTCTACATTCTGCCTACTTGTGCTGTAGATCAGTGGTCCCCAACCTTGGGCCTCCAGATGTTCTTCAGCTCCCAGAAATCCTGGCCAGCAGAGATGGTGGTGAAGGCTTCTGGGAGCTGTAGTCCAAGAACATCTGGAGGCCCAAGGCTGAGGATCACTGTTGTAGATGATTGTGAAATACAAGTAAATTGAGACTATAATGAGAATCAGAAGCTTTGATATTGTTGTCAGTATGCTCTTCGAACTGTCTTCTTAGGGTTCCTCCATAACTGCTGTGGGAAAGTTTCTTGACACTAGCCTATCAGTGGCTTGTTGGTGATGTTTACATTAGGATTAAGTTGTCATGAAGCAGGATGCACTAGCAAATATGAAGTGGTTAATCGTTAACTTCCTAGTAATGTGCGTGCTCCACCAGGACTGATTCTGTGTTTATAGATATGCTCTTGTAATTGAGCTGGCCGTGAAAGTTTCGTGTGGCAGCTGATTAACTTCATACCATATCTTCCAGTTTTGCAGTCGCTGCTGTTTGTGTCCTCCTCTGATAATCCTGTAAAGGAAGTCTGAAACTCACTCGACGGGATAATTGGAAATTCTAAAGGTAAGAAACTCTTTGGGCCCGTAGAAGCGTGAATATTCAGACACTACTTTTTAGGAAGGCTCAGATATATATGTTGTCTAGTATACCACTGTAAAAGAGAGAAGTGTGGAACTGTTAGCAGTCTGCTGCTACAGTATTTACAAATCCAATGGAGTATATAGGAGGTGAATGAGATTGTAAGATGTTTGTAAGTGAAGGTAATATATACCATTATAATGGGCTGCTCCATATACTGTATGGGGAAAAGCAAGATGCTGCTGTAGGAGATAAAGGTGGGCAGATAAATCTTCTAAAATCTGTTGCTTTCCATTGTACTTTCATAAGGGCTTGTCACTTCCTGGAAAAATAAGGTTTGAATAATTTTTGGGGGGAGTTAAAAAAAATCTGTAGATTTTTCTTATGTAGCACAACTGTATAGTTTAGAATTTTCACAGTCAAACTCAGTAGCCCCATGATGTTATCTCGCTTCCTACTGCAGAGAAAAAAGAAGAGATAGGAGTGCTGTGTTTCATTGTACAGGAAATATAGACGACGTAACCTCAAATTTTTGAACCATTACTTCAGTGTGTTAAAATGTCTTAAATCGTTGGCACTTGTTATGAAAAGTTGTTTGACTTTCCAACTATGAACGTAGCCTGTAGTCATACTCAATGGCCAAAATTCTCTTTCCTAGTTTTATTGGCATAGCTCTAACAGTGTCTTTTTTTTGGGGGGGGGGGGGTTGTGCAGCTGAGAATGCAACNCTGAGAATGCAACAGATGATCCCTTCACTGACTTCTGAACTTGAGGCAATTTACACCATTAATGTTACATCAGCACAGCTACACTAGAGGACGTTAAACCATGTTTTTTACTGGATTTGTGCTTTTTGCTATTTGTTATTTGTTTTGAACTTTGTGACACTTCGGCTATTATAATAAAAACTAGAAAGTATTTTGTAGATGCATGTATAAAGTAGTAAAATGAGAAATCAAGATGGATTGTTTTGAAAAGAGTTAAGTGGTAATCTTACAAAAATGTTACCTGTTAGGATACACTGTCAGGTCGTTTTTGAAGTCATATTTATTTTGGCACTAAAAACAACTCTGACAGGTAAATTGATATATGTTAACTTATTACAGAGGGGGAGTCTAGACTTAATAAAAAATATATGATATTTTCAAGGCGGTGTTTTGAATTCATACAGAAATCGGCTTAGTCCCAATCCACCAGAGCAGGGGTGTCCAAACTATGGTGCGTGGGCTACATCTGGCCCACCTTACCGTTTTACCTGTCCCATTCCCTTCTGCCCATGTGTGTGGGGGAACGTGTGTGTGCGTGTCTGTGTGCATGCAGGGGGGCGGGAGTGCGTGTGTGTGTGCATGCAGCGGGCAGGCATGCATGCATGTTCCTGTTCCTTTGCCCTCAAAAATGATAAAAAATATCCGGTGTGACCCTCACAGTGAAATGTTTGGAGACCCCTGAATCAGAGGATTGCGCAGAACACACTGTTGACAGTGTGGGTCCCCAGGGGTTCTTGGGTCCCCAGGGGTTCTTGGGTCCCCAGGGGTTCTTGGACTAAAACTCCCAGAAGCCTTTACCACAAGCTGTGCTGGCCGGGATTTCTGGGAGTGGTAGTCCAGGAATCTCTGGGGACCCAAGGTTGGGAACCACCGGCCTTTGGTATTCAGCTGTTGGTATATGCAAAAAGGTTTTCCTGCTAGCAAGAAGTAGTATTTGCATAAGATACTGGACTTTCAGATATCAGAGCAAGCAGCATTACAACTGTGCCATGATCCTAAAACAGAAAAGTGCTTTCACACAGATCAGATAGGTCAAGAAAATGAGCCTGTAGGTTATATCAAACAGAGTATCATTTTGTAATTATGGTCGTAATAGTTTAGGAGCTTTCTTTTTTTTAAAGAACCCTGATCTTAGTCATGTGAAATATCTTTTTTTAAAAGAACCCTGATCTTAGTCATGTGAAATAATGATCTGCAGCACAGCTGCTTCTCTCTGGGAACATAGGAAGCTGCTTTATGCAGCGTCAGATCCATAGCCCAAGTAGCCAGGTGTTGTTAAAAGTGACTAGCAGTCCAGCACTTCAAGAGTTTTCCTTGCTTTATCTGGGACCCTCAGGGTGCAGATTACATATTTTCTGTGCATGGTGTCCCTTTTGTCTCAGTGATGCATGTACAAACGCACGCAGATCCAGGCCCATATGTGTCTGAATGTCAAATGCTAGAGGTAAACAGAAGAGCAGAGTAGAACTTATGGTACTCTAATTTTAAGATTTGCAAACGTACTTTAAGAAAACCTGTCTGGCATGAACAACAACTTTTAATATATAATTTTTTTGAACTATACTTGGTGCACAGCCTGAGGAAGATGAATTATCCTAGAAAGCTAACTGTTTACTGGATTTTTTAAAAGTGGTCCAATAAAGCTATAGCCTGCTCCTGCATTTTGTATTGTTTTCTTGGAAACATGATGCTAAACTAGATGGGGACAAGTGATAGGGGGTTGGGAGCAATGGATCTGAGTAGTGCCTAAGCCAGCGTTTGCCCTTGTATCCATTGCCGTGTGGCATGTGACAGAAGGCAAATGTAGTGCTTCCTCATCTATCTGATACCAAACCAGTTCCCCCTTTAAGTTGATTTAACACAGCATGATAGCTATTTAATCTTCTCTTCGGCAGGAGATGTACCAGGCTGGTGGGGGCAGGGTTGTTCATGATTGAAAGTCTGTTCGTGCCAGAAGATGGTTTGATTTGTCTTCTGGATTTTATTGTTAATCGTCTTAAATCTTGAAAATCAATTTTTCCCCTAACTCCTGAAACATACATTTCTCCTCTGCCTCCCTGACCGAAAAAGGGGAAACCCCCATTCTTGTCTGCCTTTCCATATGCTTTTAATGCTGACCCTCTCTTTTCTTTGTTTTTTTCTGAAAGGGAAAAGACTAGTATCCTGTTTTTAATTGTAGAGCATAACTCCTGCCAGCATAGTGCTCTGCGAGATCTCCAGCTTGTAATTATGCATCCATGACAGATAACAGGGCTTGAACAAGGAATCTTAAAAGCCACCTCGTGCAAGCTCAGAAGAAGCTGAGTGGCTCATACAATGGATGGATGTGCTGGCAGAGAACGCAAAGCGGATTCTGGGCATACTCTCAAGATGGCAAGGAGGTTGCCGTGTCTGTCGGGCATTGCCCCGCATCTTGCCCCAGAGCACAGGCTTCTAGATTTGTTCCTCCCACAGTGTAGGCAGAAAAGATCTGAATTATATGGTGTGCTTGGGAATTGTCATTGGCTTGGTTTCAAATAGAGCTTCAAAAGAATGCTTGCACAAAACCTAGAAAACACCCACCAGGTTGCTTGTGTGTCTAATGATTTTTAAGGTTCTTTTTTCCCTTTCCAAGAGAAAAAAGGTGCATCAGTAAACTTTTGACAGTTCCTTATTTGATTATCATAATATTATGAAGTGTTCTTAGATAATTATAATCGGAAGACAAAGCTAAAACCTGACCATGTGTAATCTGTTGCAATCTTCTATGCAGTGAAACACTTATAAAAATAGAATATAGTGGAATGTAACATGCATTAAATTAGAACTAATTAATTTTACCTATGAGAGTGAACCTGGAAGTTCCAGATTGGTGAGGCCACTCTGGTGTACTGCAAGAGAACAGACCCATGCTGTAATTTAATATGTGAAACAGAGAAGATGATGCAACCTCCTCAATAACTGCTTATTTGTTTTTTTGTCTCACCTGGTGTTATTCTTCTTTGGTCCTGCTTCGGCTGCTCCTTGAGCACATTCGAGAACAGTACTGTAGGACCCCCGTATCTTCTGGGGATTGTCCAAGCCCCCCATAGATACTGAAAACTGTGGATAATAGTGAACTGTGTGTATATGTATATGTATGTATGAATAGATAGATAATTCACTGCTGTGTGTATATGTATATGTAGATGTATGTATGAATAGATAGATAATTCACTATGATACATATTATGGTAAAAAGGAAAAAAAGGGAAAATTATTTTCACATATATTACTAGAACTGGCCACTAGATGGCACCAGAAACCATGCTATGTCTTCTTCACTGACAAGTAAGTACTGTACAGCAGTGGTCCCCAACCTTGTTTCTTCACTAACAAGTAAGTACAGTACAGTACTGTACAGTATTCATGGCACAGTCTCCAACTTCCTTTAATGTCTGGCTCTGGCAATACATGTGAAAATAGTTTTTTCTATATTTAAAAAAAACATTTTCAGACCATGGGTAAGTGAATCAGTGGATACTGATCCTGTAGATAAGGGGATCCTACTGTACTTTCAAACCTTTTAAAACAACATTCCTCTTTTTGTACTTTTGAGAAATCACAAGTCAGCTCTCCTTTAATGATTTACAACTCACTTTTAACAAAAACATATTAAATGTTAAAAATATTAAAAACTAGACAGATTATCAATATCAAAACCATCCATAATACCATTTCCCCAAAAATAAGACCTAACCTGAAAATAAGCCCTAGTGTGATTTTTCAGGATGCTGGTAATATAAGCCCTACCCCAAAAATAAGCCCCAGTTAAGTGAAACCCCGTCCTCCACCATTGTGCAGCATTGTGCAGCAACCAGAAGATGACATGACTGTAAACTAAAACATTCCCTGAAAATAAGGCCTAATGCATTTTTGGAGCAAAAATTAATATAGGACACTGTCTTATTTTTGGAGAAACATGGTACATACGTGTTTGGCACGTATGCCAAGGTCTCTGGCACCCTCCCTGTTCTAGTAAATACACCATGAAAATACATATTTCTAGTTTTTTGTCTTTCAATATTTTAAAAATTTTCATACTATGGATAGGTGAAACCACTGAAACTGATCTGATATGGGAGTCCTACTGTATTTAATTTTGCTGTTCTCCGATGTTTATGGTGAAAAATGAGACTAATTTCTCTTTGATACAACTGTGTGGCTACTTTGGGACTGGGGTAGAGGTAGGGGATGTGATGCTCTTAATAGATTTTTATTTTCTCCCATTTGTTTCATAGGCTTTTCTTCACTTATAATGAAACCTTAAAAAGTAGAGACGAAAATAATTAGAAGATGGCAGCAGCAATGAGCAGCATTAACGAGCTTCCAGAAAATGAATACTTTAAAAAGCTATCAGGACGAGAGTCAATCTCAGAGAATGATCCATTCTGGAATCAACTGCTTTCTCTTAGCTTTAACACCCCAACAAACAGGTAAGATGTTTAGTAAATATGCAAACATTCTCTAATAGAGTAGCAGTCTAAGGATGTTTGACTGGGTTGGCCTGATAGTTCCTTGTGTTGTGCAAGGGAAAATTACTAAACCTTAGGTAACTGGCTGAGAATCTAAAGATTAGGAGTTCGATTCCCTGCTGGATCTCCCAGACAGGGGCTAGACTTTATGATCCATAGGATCATAGCTTAATGATTTAGGTATCTGGTGGTGGAGCCAGAGGTTGGTGGTTTGATCCCTCGCTGTGTGCCTCCTTGATAGGGGATGATTCACAGGGTTCCTTCCAGCTCTGCAACTGTGTGCCTCCTTGATAGGGGATGATTCCCAGGGTTCCTTACAGCTCTGCAGTTCTAAGAGTGTTGTTGCTCATAGAAATCATAGAAAGGTGAAGTTGGAAGGGGCCTATGAGGCCATCAAGTCCAACCCCCTGCTCAAGG